AATGCCAGTAGAAAATGGGAACATGGATTTTACAGTTCCACTCTTCCATTATATGGTTGATTTTCTGAAAAATTGAAGTATAATACCTTAAAATATTGTTGCATCATGGAAAAAAGGCCAACTCTGCAGTGTTCCACGGAACTGTGTAACACTCAAAAGACCTGAAAGCAACTTTTAGATCATGAATTTTGCCTTTTTTTGTTGTATCAAACAATCTAAATATAACCAATAAATATAAATTTGATTGCAAAAAGAATTGCTCTGAAGGCAAACACAAATTTAACCAAGTCAAAACTCTAAAGTAGATATTAGATCTTGATTCATAAAAAAAAAACCCCAAAACTAAATTGCTATTTAGATTATACACAAGTTATATTTTAGAATTATATTAAATTTTCTACAAATTAACTAACATTAAATATGATTATGTTACACTTATCTAATATGATGACTTTTACATGAAAGGTAATTAACATTTGAGGACTATTCTAAACTATTTGGTAAATAAAAACTTTGTATTTATATTAACTTAAACAATTGAAAAATTTTAAAGAAACCAATTTCTTATCTGAAAATGTCTATTAATCATTACCTAGGAAATGCAATTCAATTGTACATGTAAAGTTTTGCTTTTATTTCCAGTTTGCAATTAGCTTCTAAACATTACTATTGTACATTAAGCAAGCATTTGCTTAGGGCCTACTATGTGCAAGACACTTGTTAAAGGCTATGGTATATATTTTTTAAAATTACCCAATAAGGTTTATGAAATATAGTTTTCCACTACTAATATCAAGGGGGCTTCAAAAGTTAGTGGAAATAATCCGTTATTTAAAAAAGTCTCTGTCTACACACTTTTTGAAACCATCTCTAGTATCTTAATTTAAAACATAATGAAAAGGAACACCTTTTTAGAAATTTGTGAATGGTACTCCATGATATAGGTGTCATGTGTGAGTTTATATCTACAGAAGATAACAGTACTCATTTGTAGTGAGATAAATATCATAGCAAGTTTCAGAACTAGCTCAACATTTTAATCATGGTTACATTAGTATATGACTCAATAAACTTCAGGTACAAGATAACCCCAGGTCACCAGATAAGCAAAACAAAGTTTTATCCAGAGATGCCTTTTGTACAACAGATAGAGCTGAAGGTTTGCACAGATCATAAAAGAAAGCTGTTTCCTTTTTGAGTTTTCTAAATAACATATTTAGATTACAGATACCCAACAAGATTTAGTAGATACATCAATTCTAATAATTACTTTCTGTTTAAAACTTAAAGCCAATATTGAATTTTAAACACTTTGTAGAAGTCAAGAACCTGAGTTCCAGAAAGCACATTTATTCTGAAAACGATACAAATATACTTCAACAATGGGTATAATAGACTAAATGTAATATGCATAAAGAGAGGGGCAAGAAAACAATAAAAAGAGAAAGATGGACAATACTAACTTATGAATCATTTGTAGTTTTAAGTATATTTCATAGTATCTACTTAACAATCATTAGGAAAAAGCAAAATATTTGGTGCCTAGGTTAAGGAAAAAAGGAAATTATAAGAAGACATTACTCATAAAAGAAAAATACAGTTTTCCATTATAGTGGGGTTAAAGGTTACATCATAAAATTCTTGAATTTTTGTGATTTGCTTCAGATGATTAGTTCAGAGAAACAGATGAGCCAGTATTGAGTTAGCTGCTGTTAAAATGAATATTAGAATACAACAAGTTTTTCTTGGACAGGTACTATATGTCCACTTTTTAAAAGGCTCTTTTGAGATTGTAGAATCAGATTTAAAGGCTAGCATTATTTCAGGAGACTAAGACTAAATTGTTCCTTTCTGTCAAGTTATTTTATAAATTTCATGGTCATGTCTTCTTACCTTATATTGTATTTAAAAAACAAACTGCCAATTCTTGAAATTTAATTACATATTGTTAACTACTCTTTGGAATGAGAATTAATATATTTCAATAAAAAATCAACCAATTGTTGATTTTTATAGTGTGTATGTTAACACACATATGTGTACATATACATACATACCTTTATTGCAAGACACTTGTTAAGACCTATGGTGTGTTTAAAACAACCACCTTAATAGGGATAACAGCTTGTAAATTGTAGTTTTCCAATGTGAAGGGAGCTTCAAAAAGCTAGAGGAAATATTTCCTTATCTTTTCAAATCTATTTGTCCACAGACTTTTTGAAACCCCTTCTAGTATCCTAATTTAAAACAATGTAAATTGATACATAACTGCTCACTTATATACAGATATAAGTTGCTTATTGCTTTCCTGCATCTGACATATACCTTGGTACATAGTAAATGATCAATAAATATTTATTGAATAAATAACTGCATCTGAACTATTCTATCAACTCTATTATTCTTCCTTTTTCTCAGTTTATAGAAATATATTAAAAATTATTCTTCTGTTTTATAATTTATAAGTAAAAGTTTTATATATGGCTCATGTATTGAAATGAGGCTGCCTTATTTACATTAATTTTTTTCTTAGAACTTTCTGAACTCATTTGAACACATTCAAACCCATTTTAGGTTATTAATTAAATTTTGACTACTGTTTTCAGTATTTATGTATACACCTTTAACCACATTTTTGGTTCAGGTACAGGTATTTATATATAGGCGTCTTATATAATACTGTAGTTCATATTTTTTCAAAGTTCAAAAATCTTTTTAAAATTATTATTTTTGAAATAATGATGACCTAAATTTATTGTTACAGAATAAGGTCAGGTACCCATCATTTTTTACATAAACTAGTTCCATCAGAAGAACTAAGTTACAATACATTGAAAAGGGAAGAAACGTCTTTTTAACCTAGTGTATCAATTTTAGGAGAGGCAAGTTTCACATTGATTTTTACTCAGAATTATTCTATCTTCTCTACGACTCTGTGGAGGAACTGGATGTTAGTCTTTGTGTAAGGGTAAAGATCAGTATGCTGTTCACATACACAGAACAGTATAATTTTCCTCGAAGGCCATTTTTTAGTATGTATTTTCAATGACATTTATTTTCAATGACATTAAAATAACATTCAGATATTTATTGTTTCCATCTCCTTACATATTTAAATATTAATCTTGTAGTAACATTTTTCTAAATGTACTAGTAGTTAGAAGAGTCTCATTTTTTGTGCCCCTTTAATGTTTTAATGTATTTTCTCCCCATTTTTTACTATTTCTATTACCACAGATCTCTCACTAGCTTTTAATGTATTTAAATGAACTTGCTAATATTTTCATGCATTGTGTAATGTTATAATTTTCAGGTGTCTAGTAAATAATTTATAATGGGAAAAAAAGCCACATTACTGTTTCCCCCTTTATGAGAACATTTGGAATGCTTTTTTCAAAATGATTTTTAAATTAGGTTGGAGGGGTGTACATTTCTGGAATGCTTTTAAAGCCTCAACTAATATCCTTTGGGGACCAACCTTGAGTTCCTACGTCCTCCAGCATCATATAACTGCATTTTCTGAATCCCTTTGTATTTCCGCTTTCTGATAAACTTCTAATTTGTATCAGTATATTAACTCAAAGCTATGGACTCACCTTACAATCATTCTGGTTGTTTAAATAATATACCCGTACATTCCTATTTCCTGTTAAACTTTTGTCATTAGACACTTAAAAAACCCCTGGATATTCCGTTTACATGGATGATGCATAGGGGCTGGGAAGGAGAGATTTTGCTAGTTTGCTTAGTAGCCAGGTATCCTAATTAATCTACTCGGATAGGCCTAAACCATTTTCTGTTCCTCAGGGAGCTCCTTTTCTTCCTACTGCCACTAAAATGACCTCAAAGTTTCAAGAGTACATTTGAAGAATATAGCCCCATCTGAGAAATCCTCAATCACAACGGACTCCACTGTTCGTTATATTTTGGTGACCGACTATCCGGAGGCATTAGATCCCTTCATCTTTTAGCATCGTGTGACTGCATTTTGCAGATCATCATATTAGGCATTCCATGGCAGCTCGTGTGTTTTTCCTTCTTGTTACTCCTGGTAAACAACCACGAGTACTTTTACGTACCAAGCTCAAGGTAGCCTTGACGTTATTAGTCCTCTCTCGGTATAACCCTAATACGGATTTGACTTTCAGTCTGTGATGCACGCTCATTTGTCACTGTGCATCACAGTGAGCCAATGTGGCGTGTAAATGGGCGGTGGATTTGGTGGCACTCCCCCTTGGTGAACTTTGGGTAGGTTCCAGGATGTGAATTTAATGGGTGGAGAGCCTGTGGCAGTCCTGTGAAGTCAGCATGGCCAACTGCAGGAAGCCATGCTTCATTTCACCCCTCATGGAACCCTGTATGCATAGCCAACCCGTTACCCACAGGCCAATTCTAGAGGTAAATGCCGTCAGGAGGCTTCCTTGTGCAAGATGACCCTTCTCACCCCCTAACCCGAGTGCCTTCAAGCTGCTGCTCCACAGCGCAACCCTAGCATACTCTCTTCTTCCTATACCTCTCCTTCCCTTTCCTCCGGGCTTGCAGCGACGTGCACACGCAGCCCGCGCGACTGGCGCAGCAGGAGGCGTTCCCAACGTCCCCGCCCCCGCGTGCGCGCCCCCGCAGGCTCCTTCAGGCTTCAGCGCGCCGCCGACTGTACTAGCTCCCCGCCCATCGGCGCGGCACACCTCGGCGGCTGTGACCGCTGCGGGGGTGGGAGGGGGGCCTGGGAGGTAGGCCGGGGCGGCCGGCTGGACGCGGCGGCGCGCACGTAGGCCTCGCCTCTTCCCGGCCTCCTTCCTCGCACGCGCCGCAGGGTGGGCGCGCACGCCGAGTGACGCTCGGAGGAGGAAGCGCAGCCCTCTTTCCCCTCCCTCGTTGCCCGTGGCCCAGCGGGAGCCCTCCCCAGTGCGCCTGTGCGGAGGCCTACTTGGTTATGTGTGCCCTCTCTCGGCTTCTGCGTTAGCGGCCGGGTGGAGGTGGGGAGGGAAGAAGACTCGCAGGAGGCGGTAGAGGGGAGGTGGGGGGAGTCAGCAAGGACATGGCTCCTGACTCCTGTGCGGAACGTGAGTGACTGAGCGGCAAAGCCCGAGGGAGCGAGCGAGCGGCGGGCGGGGGCCGGACGCCAGGACGGGAGCGGGGCCGTGGCCGGCCGTGCGGGTGGGGAGCACTAACTGGTTGCATGTGTTTTTAATGGTCCCCCCAACTCCCTCTTAGATGGTCTCTAGCGACCGGCTCGTGTCACTGGAGGACGAGGTCTCCCATAGTATGAAGGAGATGATTGGAGGCTGTTGCGTTTGCTCAGACGAGAGAGGCTGGGCCGAGAACCCGCTGGTTTATTGCGACGGGCACGGCTGCAGCGTCGCGGTGCATCAAGGTAAAGACCCAACCGCCCGGCCGAACCCGGCCTGCTCCCAACCGTCACCGCTTCTCCCCCACCTTGGCAGGCAGCAACTGCCAGTTCCCCTTCCGCCCCTCCCCCCGCCCCCGCCCCGTCCGGCGGCCCCCGGATTTACTCGCAGGGTCTGCGGAGGAGTAGAGGGGTGTGGGCCGTGCATGTGGGAGAAAGTGCGTGCGGCCTGGACTGTCATGTGACGCGGCTCTCACTCTCTGAAGTGTCATTCAGCCCCCGCCTGCGAGCCGAGGGGCTGGGGACTTTCCGAGGCCGAGGCTGGACCTCGGAGCAGGGGTGCTTGCAGGGCCCGGGGCCCGTGGGCTCGCGCCCCGGGAGAGTGGGGGCGGGGGTCGCGGAGCCTGCCCCCCTCCTTCCTGTCACCGTGGCTGTGGGCTTGGGTTTGGGAGCATTGTGACCCCTCCCCCCTCGCTGCCGACTCCCGTCTGCCGCAGCGTGTGTGGAGACTTCCTGTGGCATGGAGGCGGGCGGCCTGGGGAATGCGACCGGCTGCTTTGGGGAGCGCGAGGGGAGAAAGGGGGATGCCTCGCCTCTTCTGTGCAGCAGAAAGCTGCACCCCGAGCTTTCTGGCAGATGCACTGCTCCTTCCGCCTGGGGACAGGGAGCCCCTGCGGAGAAGGGGCCCACGCCCCCACTTCTGCTGGTGCAGGGGTGCTGTGACTGAGCCGCCCAGGGCTGGTGGATGAGACTGTTGGAAGTGGCTGCGTCTGGCCACTGTTTCAGTTTGTGTTACTGAAGAGGAGAAGGGGTGTCGCCAGAATTGAGCATCCTAGTTCATTTCTGAGAATTTCCACTTGGTGAGTTTTTGGGGTGTGCCAAAACAGCGGAGGAAACTAGTAAGACACTCTGGCCATTGAAGTTTGTGACTGAACCAATCTCAATTATTTATTGGTAACTTTTACACTCTCCCTGTTTATTCACAGTTTTGCCCTTTTTCCCCTTGCGTGCTGCAGATTTTGTCGAGGCGTTTTAGAAGAGATTATCTAATGAAGGGAGGAAACTCTTAAACAAGGTGCTAAAGTACATTCTTGATAGAATGGAATTTCAGAGTTGTAACGTGCAGTGGTGGTCATTTTGAGATAGTGAATTTTAACCTAAGAGGGCAGGTATTCACAATTTCTTTTTAAGTAAAAGTGAAGTTTCTTTTTTTTTTCAAGGAGTGATATTGTGTGTCAAACCTAGCAATTGTCAAGCTCTTTGGTATTTTAAGATTTTGAGCCTGGGGTTTCGTTTTTCTGTTAACAGTTTTCATTGGCCAGCATTTTAGTTATTTCTTTTGAATTCTATGATAAGTTACCAAGTGTAGATCATCTGTAACCTTTTAAAGCAGCATGTAAGAGACAAAGTTAAGAAATTTAGAGCAAAATTCTTGAACACTAGCCTTGTGTTCTAGCTTATATAACATTTATACTGTGACATTTGCACATGTTTTAATGGTATTAGAAATTAGCTTTTGGAGTTTAGAAAACGTCTATTATATCTAGGTTAATTTCAAGCTCTCTGTAAGCTCATGTGAGAATGTCAGTTGAAAGTTATGTTTAGGTTTTTGGAAAAATTGTTGAACTAATTATATATTGATATTAAATGATTTGTTAATATCAGGTGGTGATTCAGTTGTGTGATACATAGTCACACAGTTGTGGGTCCATCCTATTATATGTTTAGCAATAAGCATATGTTTAATTTTTAAAAAATAACAGCTTTATCGATATATTCACATACCAACAACTCACTCATGTAAAGTGAACAGGTCAATGGTTTGTAGTAGTATGTTCACAGAATTGTGAAATCTTCCACCACAGTTAGTTTTACATTTTCATCAATCTTAATAAGAACTTTCATACCCGTTAACAATCACTCTCTATTTCATTCTATTTCTATTAGAAGAAGCTCTAATTCTGTAGCCCTGAGTAACCAGTATTGTCTGTTTCTCTGAATTTGTCTATTTTCAATGTTTCTTATAAATGAAAGTATTTCACATTTAACATACTTTGTTTCTGTAATCAAGTTCTCGCTTTGAAAGATTCTCTAGAAATGATTTCATTAGACTTAAGTAAAAGTACTTGTAATTTAAGCTGTAAGATATAAAAATCAAAAGGAAACGAAAAATCTAGGAAACAAAGCTATGGATAGAGGCATAGACATAGGTGTGTACATATGTAAGTATATTAATTCATAAAAATAGAAGTATTGGCCTATGTACATATATTTATATGGCAATGAATTGAGGTAGTGGATGGACTTTGGGCCTCTGCTCATGCCCTGCCTCAATGCAAGAACACTTTTGTTCTAACAACCTGGCATTCTGATGCTCACCCTCCTGGCACAATCACTGAAGACAAAATGGGTTCATAAGCAAATGTGGCGAAGAAAGCTGATGGTGCCCAGCTATCAAAAGATAAGCGTCTGGGGTCTTAAGAGCTTGAAGTTAAACAAGCGGCCATCTAGCAGAGAAGCAACACGCCCACATGGAAGAAGCACACCAGCCTGTGCGATCATGAGGTGTCAACTGAATCAGGTAACAAGCACCAGAAGACCCCCAAAAAACCCCCCAAAACCAAAAAATGTTGAGAACGAGGGCGGTTGGAGCAGAGATCCAAAACCCATTTGTAGACAACACGATATCTCGTCACAATGCTCACAAGGAATGGATGAGTCAACCAGGGCAGAGTCCTGCCTTTCACTGTGGGCTAGATCTGAGCATGTACACAGGTACAGATGAGAGCTCAGGACACATGGAATCCAGGTCAAATAAACCCCTCAGGAAAAGTAATGGGAGTAGCCATACCAGAAGGGTAGGGGGAAAGGTGGGGAGAGGAGGGAAGGAAGATGGGCACTGATTGACCCCAACACCCCCTTCCCCCTGAGGGAGGAACAGCACAAACCATGGGGGAAGGGAGGCAGTAGTTGGTGTAAGATATGAAAATAATAATTTATGATTTATCTAGGGGACATGAGGCCGGGAGGAATAAAAGCTGATACTAAAGGCTCAAATAGAAAGTAAAGGGTTAGAAAATAATGATGGCAACATATGTACAAATATGCTTGATGACAATTGATATATGGATTTTTACAAGATCCCCTAATAAAACTATCTTTAATTAAAAAAAAGATAGGAATGAATGAAATTCCTGTTACTCCATAAAAACTGTTATATTTTACCAAATGTCCTGTGTATAGAAGAAACAAAAATTGTATGAAAAATACTTAAATGATGTTTAAAATTTTGATAGAACATGTAATAATTTTACTTTTTAATTAAATAAGTTTAATTAAAATTTTAGATATGATAAGTAGAATATAAAATGTTTTAATTCTTTGTAAAGCAAGTTAACTCAGATAGTTTGAGAGGTAGTTTAACAGGACTTTGAAAGGTACTTGAATTTCATAATCCTTTAAATCTTAATATTTCCTAAAACATTATATTTCCCTACAGCTTGCTATGGCATTGTTCAAGTTCCTACTGGACCCTGGTTTTGCAGGAAATGTGAATCTCAGGAGAGAGCAGCCAGAGTGGTAAGGACTGTTTGCCAGAAATACTGAGCTAGTTCTTGAGTACCATGGGGTGCTGTATACTGGTTGCAGTGTGAAGAGTTAGCAGACTTTTGTTCAGAGACTAATTTAAGAGAGAATTTGTGCCAAATAACGACTTAACGATTTTAAATAGATTTTATAAATCTGAAAAACAAATTGAACCTCATAAGTATATGTGGATGGATATTTTGTAAAGAATGAAAATATGAAGTCAAGTTTGGGCTTTACTGATTGATTATACAGAATTAGGAAAAGGTGAAAAAGCTATGGAGATTAACTTGATGAACCATAGTTAAAATATAATGGCGGTGCATCTAAAGGAAGGTATATGGATAAGTTCTGTTTAATTTGAAAAAATAAGGGTTTTACTGTCTACCGTAGTTTACTACATCTGCTCATGGACAAGGGACATAACAACCTTCCCTTTTCACTTGGCTGCCTACTGTCTCTCTGAACACTTTTTAAACTGGTAAGAGGGAAATCGGTGTTTTCTTTTGTGGCCAAAAGCATTTTTCCCTGTAAAATTGGCAATATCAGGGAGAAACAAGATTTAATCTTAATTAGTCCTACAAAAGTGTGACACCTTAAAATGTGGTATTTTATACCTTTTAGTATTGAGTAGAAATTTTGACAAGTCAAAAAAATTTCAACTTCTTTAGGTGTATAGCAAAAGCAGGACCGTTTATTTTCAATCAATCAAAAAACTATCTAGGATTGTGTGTCTCAGAGCACTATTCTGTGGGTAGGCATTTTTTTTTGTTTGAGAGTGCACTGTGGTGAAATTATTGTTCTACTATTCAGATCATGAGAATTAGCAACGGTAGTAGGGAATCAAGGTTTTTTAGGACTTGAAGTATTTATAGGTTATGTGTCTTATTTTTCCTGTACACCCTTCTCCCATGGCATCCCTTCCCCTTTGCATCATGTGATGGTTTGGGGTGGATGGATCACCAAGCAAAAGGAAGTCATGCTTTCAACAGATTCAAACCAGAATAAAATAATAAAATAAGAGGGTGGGTATGAAAAAAAAAGGAGCATATACATCGTTAATGGAGAGTGATGGAAAGCTTTTTTCCTCTCAAGTGCCACTTGTTGAATTATTTTGTTCCTTTATAAATATGGTCAAGGTGAATAAGGTAGTTATCTTACAAGGTATATTAGGGTACTTGTTTCAACTGTTCTATAAGTTTTGAAGAAGAGATACAACCTCTTTTAAAGTCCTAGAGTAACAAATATAAAAGGGTAGAGAAATTAAAACTTCCTCCAAATGAAGGAAGGACAATTTACTGCCAGGATGTAGCAGCCAAGAACTTCGAAATAGATCTTGGTGCTTCAAAAAGGAGTTGACCCAGTTTTTATCTTTTGCTTTGTTGGTGTGCCTGCTTCCTTTTTTTTGGTATGCTGCTTCAGTGATCAGTTCCTAACCTCTTTGAGTGCCGAAAAGGAGCCCTGGTAGCGTAGGGGGTGATGCATCGGGCTGGTAAACACAAGTGGACAATTCGAACCCAGTAGCCACTCCATGGGAGAAAGGTGAGGTCTTCTGCCTCTGTAAACATTTACCATCTCAGACACCACAGGGAGCAGCTCTCCTTTGTCGGATAGGGTTGTAAGGATCAAAGAGTAAGCAACAAATCTATGAGAGACGGTAGTCTGTTATTCTCATTTTATGGATAGAGCATGGTAGTTTTTAAGACTGTCTACGTGGACTCTAGGTTATGTTTCACTCACACATTCACTGCCATAGAGTTGAATCTGACTCATAGTGATTCTGTAGGACAGGGTAGAGCTGTCTCTCTGGGTTTCCGAGGGTGTACATTTTTACTGAGCAGGACTTTTCTCACACAGGTCCACTAGTGGCTTTGAACTGCTGACATCATTATTAGTTGCCCAACTAGTAACCCACTATGCCATCAGTACTCCTACGGGTATGATTAGAGCCCAGACTTGTCTTGAATACAGAGGCAAAGCTCTTAATTGCCTTGAAATGAAAGATGATCATATCTGTCATGAAAGATGGTTATATCTCAGCTTATGATATTTCTGTTTCCTGCTTAAAGAGAGTTGACTGAGGGCTGAAATCTCAGAAGCTCCTTTTCTTTTGAGGAGAAAACCCCTTTGGTTTGGCTTGGCCAAGGTGCCCACTTATGGGCCAATTTGCTATGGCTGGGCATTCAAAAACTTAGAAACCAAATTCACTGCCATCTCTTCGATTCGGACTCACCGCGACGCTGTAGGACAGGGTCGAACTGCCGCTATGGGTTTCTGAGACTGTTATTGCTAGTAGAAAGCCTCTTCCTTTTCTCATTGTGAGGCTAGCAGCCCGGATCTCAAAACCAAGTCTCCTTTGGCTAGGCACTAGGGGGAAGTTATTCAAATGAAGGTGAGGAGCGTCCTGTGAAAGGAGGATAGCTCTTCTCTGGAGAGTGGCGATTGTATATTTAAAAAAAAAGTTGATTGGATTTCAAAAGGATGCTCTTTATATATGAGGAGCTCCAAAAAGTTAGTAGAAAATGGAACTAAAGGATAATGAAAATATCCTTTTTTTTTTCATGATGAAAATTTATCCTTAACTCTTTGAAGCTTTGTTCACTTAAAAGAGATGTGTATTTTATTTAATGTGAATTTAAAATTTTCCTGCCGTTTTGATTAGACTTAGAATGGTTAGCAGTTAAAGCATTCTTAAGCACCACAGACTGCAGTGACTTAAAATGTTATCTACTTGTATAATTTTTATCATATAGTAAGAAGGTATGTTAGATTCTGAATATTATGCGTTGAGAAGGGATTGTGCAAAATTAAGTGGTCAAAAGCCCATTACAAGTTGGCGTTACTAAGACATTTTTACTTTAGCTTTAATTGAAATATTAATGTTTTCTTTCAGGAGCTGAGCCATATCAACTGCTCGGCCTCCTTTTTGAATGAATATATGGGAATTTTTGTTTTCTCCATATATTTCAAAATTTCACAATTATGCTTTTAAAGTAATCCAAGTAAATTAAAATAAAACAAACAACATAAAAAACATGCCCACTACTTCTGCACAACCTTAGAATGTGAGGCTTCACGATCCAAGCCCCCTTCATTGGTGTTTGCGGTGACTTCCCCAGTGAGGTTTTCTTTTTACTTCCACCTGACCCTGCCCCCACACCTAAAAGTGCTGCAGTGGAGTGCCTTGAGCCCAAGCCTCCTAAGTTCCAGAGAAAGAGACCCTCTTAGCATCAATGCTAGTATGCTTTTGCATGCATATGAGGTGATTGAAAATACCATGATTCGAGATTGTACTATTGTGCTTTTTTAAATCTTTGCTTAAGGAAGACATTTACATATACATCATTATGAATTTGTAAAATTATTTGCCCTACATGCTTATCTATATGAATCATGTTTAAATTTAATTTATTATACATTTGATTATTGTACTTCTGAATCTTATAGAACATAATATCTATGCATTCCTCTCCCATAAATAACAAATGTCAATTCTTCATAGTTGGTTCATATCTTTTTTTCTGCTTAAATGAATAATGCACTTAAAAATCTCAGTTGAATTTCTTTGTGTATTCTCCCTAGTCTATCTGAGTCAACTTTTAATCAGTTTAGTGTTTGCATGGTCCATCTGTGGTGTAATACACACACACACACACATATATATACCATGTAGTATTATGCTTTGTAGAAATGGTATCATCTGGATGTGTACTGCCCTGCAATTTGGGATCTAGCAACATTAAAACATAAGAATTCAGTTAAGTTTTATTTTTTTCTGTTACATGAATATATGACTATTTCCATCTTTAGGTTGTTTTTACTTTTTCACTATTACAAATTGTGCCATAATGAACATACTTGTAAATGAAATAAAGTTTCCTTTTTAAAAATGCAGTCTGGAAATCTGTCATAGGCAGATGTCATGTGTTTGCATTTATAGTAAAGACTGATACATTCAACTTATTTAAAAATAAAATCTGATTTTGTATTATCTATTTATCATGGTTGTAATATTTTTTCCTGCCATCCCCACCCCCTTCTACTTTCTTTTAGAGTGATTGAGGTTTCTTTTTCTTTTAAATTCTCTGCTGGTAAATGGAGGTTGTATGTTTTTTTCTTGTAGTTATTGTCCTTAAATTTTTAATGTTAAAAAAAAAAAGTTTAATGTTAAAGAAAAATTTTTTAAATGTTCATACTTTGTTTTTCTTATTCTAATATCAACTCCTACTGAACAGAGTCAGAACAGACATCACTTGCATTGCCTGTGAGCTCTTTCCTGTGCAAAGTCTGTGCCATTGTTTATATATTAGTTTCCCTTTGTTCTTAATCTTCCAAATTTGTTATGGTTGTTTTTTTATATATTTATAGTTTGGACTTAAATATTACTGATGCTTTTGCTCCCTGCAACTCCTATTTCCCTTGCTTTTACATTTTCCCTCTCTTTGTAGTTTACCTCTTAGTAGTTTTTTTCTGTTGTGATTACTAAACTGCATTATTTTATACCCTCTTGTGTGATATTTACATACAGAATTTTGAGTTAATAGTTATTTTCTTGTAACCATAGATTTTATTCCAGTTTGTTTCATGGTAACCATTGCTAATAGTAAATCTGTTGGTAGTCAGTTTATTGTGCCTTGGCCTGCTTTTTCCTTTTGAGGACTCTGTCACCGGTTTTGGACATTGGTTTGTTCTGTGTCTTTAAATATTGTCACTCTTTTCTTATATTTTCGTCTCCTGGAACTGTTAATTAAATGCATGTTTGGGATATACATTCCATTCTTCATGTCTTTCAATTTTTCATTCATATTTTCTCATCATATCCGTATTGTGGATAATCTCTTTAGCCCTGTCGTCAAATTTATGCTTACTATTATCTCCTGTATGAACTGATTTCCGAATATCCACCTTTCTTTTTTGAATTGCCTGATATTTTTTCATTAAAAAAAAAATTGGTATAGTTTCCTCTTAAGGGTTATATTCCTCTTTTTATATAT